ACTGTGGGGCAGGTGGAGGGGCTCCCATTAAGAAAACTGAAAGGACTCCCCCGAATGACAGAGAACAGTCAGCAACAGTTGTTAAGGCTGAGAGTGAGCAATCAAGCGCTTCACACGTGTTCCCTAATTTAAGGCTTACAACAACCCCACGAAGTCGGTACCATCATTTGCCTCCCTTTGCATATGTGGAAACTGAGGCACAGAGAGAGAAATAAGCTGCCTCCAAAGTCACATAGGTAATGAGCAATGGGAAGGGATTTGAATCCAGTCTGTACAGAGTGAAACAAGGAGTTGCTGAATGTTCAGTTATCCTGAGCAAGTTAGCAACAAGATCTGCTGCGTGTGAACCACATAGAATAGGAAAATTATTTACATAGAATGAGTCGAAAGAGAAAATACATTTCCTGCTGAACTGCCACACTTGAGCTACCTGGTTGACCTAAACAATGACATTTTTAAACTTTGGAAGTCTGCTCAGCTGGTCTAGGAAGGGGCCGAGCACTTTACGCAGGCCGGTGACGTCCAAGGCCTGTATGCTTCCCTTTGACGGGGCAGTGCTGGTGCAGGAGGAGATTTCGGATACCCTAGTGGTGAGTAAGTAGGTAAACGGGTCAGTGGGAGGCGTTGGATGACCCTGACTGCCTCTCGTGCCCCTTCACTTCCCGCCTCCCATCTTGCCTTCCACACGTGGCCACACAGTCCAACATATCTGGGCCTTTCCCACCTCGGGGCCTTTGCTCTTACTGTTCCCATGGCCTACAACTCTCTTCCCTAGACCTTTGTTGGGCTGGATCCTTCTTGTAATTCAACAATTAGCTTTAATGTCACCTCTTCAGCGAGGCCACCTCTGGCCACCCCTGACACCTCTCCACTGCCAGCCTCCCCACTTGACCCCAGGCCCCCACTGCCCAGCACCGTGTTCCCTTCAGATCTCGGAGACAAGTTCTAACTATACCTTAGTTACCTGCTTACTTACTTGCAGTCGTGCTTCTCCCGCCTAGAATGCAATTCCCCGAAGACAGAGACCTCACCTGTTTTGGCCACTGCTGCACCCCAGTTGCTGGAACTAGGCCTGGCACTGATGCGCTTACGAGTTAATGAAAGAATTAATGTGCCACAAATGGAGTTCATGGGCATTTACCCCTATTCTCGGTGAGTTTTAGGGCAGAGAAAGGTGAGAGGGCACAGGTTTGAGAAGGAGGGTAAAAAGAGATGTTATTATTAAAAAAAGCAGGAAGAATGTGAATATCTGGCTAGATTTAGGAGAAATAATTATACATGACCTATCACAGTTTGCCCAGGGCTAAGGTCCCTGAGCCCTTTTGTGTTTTTTTTTTTTAGCTCGCCTCACTACCAAGTTCACCTGTGGGCTCCATGCCCAGCCCAAGGGAAAGGACCCTACCTGGGGGGTTCAGTGATTGAAACCACCTAAAGGTGATGGGAGCTGGTGTGTCTCCTATTGATGAACAACATTTGGTTGTTTCCAATATTTTACTATTAAAAACAATGCCTTAGTGAATATTCATATACATTTGTCACTTTCCCCATGGATGGTGTATCTGTGGGATAAATGCCTAAAGTTGATTTCAGGGACCAAAGCTCTGTCGACTTCACATGTGTCTGTGTATGTTAGCTATTCTCCCCCTCTCCCCCAAAACAACAGTGAAGTAGAGGCCATTAGCTCTTTAAACAGGTAAGTTTTTAGAGGAATGCTGTGGTTCTATTGGTTGTAAGCAACAGAAATCAATCTGGTTAGCTACATGTTTTAAAAGTGAGAGATTTATTGAAAGAATATTGAGGAAGGTCATGGAATCCATGAAATTGTTCAACCATGAGACCCAGGGAAGCCCAAGGAATGGGGCCATTCTGGAGACCTCAGTTATCCTCAGGTCCCCTCTGCCTTGGGCCTGATTCTGCTGCAGGGGCCCCCTGGCTTTGTGCATCTCAGCTCAGAACTCTTAATTACCAGGCGATTGGCCTGGTTAGGTCAGGAGCTGCCCCTGAATTAGTTAGCAATGGGGAGTGGCTCCTATTGGGCAGGCCAGGCTGAGGGGACCCACCCCATGCAGCCAGAGATGGAGCTGAAGTTGTGAGCTGGGCAGCCACTGCCAGGGGGTGTGGTTCTGCAATAAGAAAATAGCAATTCTAAATCAGCTGACTGTGCTAAATTTGTACAACAGTGCACAGTTGGTTGCTCAGTGCTGGTGTGGGGCATTTCTTTAAAAGTCTTGTGTTTATCACATCTTTAAATAACAAAGAGGTGATTTGCATGAGTTCATGAGAGTGAATGATATTGAGAATATCATGCTAAGTGAAATAAGTCAGATGGAAAAAGTCAAGAACCATATGTTTTCACTTATATGTGGGATATAAAACTGCAAGCAATAAATGAACAAACAAGACAGACAAACAAAAACTCACAGACAACGGTATGGTGGTTACCAGAGGGAAGGGGGGTGGAGGGGAGGTAGAAGAAGATAAAGGGGGTCAAATATATGGTGAAGGAAGGGGACTTGACCTTGGGTGGTGAACACACAGTGCAATATGCTGATTGTACACTGGGACCTATATAATTTTATTAACCAGTGTCACCCCAATAAATTTAATAAAACTTTTAAGAAAAAGTGAATGGTGACTATGGAGACTGCATTTCCTGATGAGCAAATCTGACCAGACTGTTGTGTTGTTTTAAGGTGAGAAGAAGTAGCTCTCCATTCGCTGGCATTAGTTGTTTGACAAGAAGCATGCTGCCATGGAGAAAGTCAAAAGTGAGTGAACCAAAAGGGGCCCTCCCTTCTGGGGACAGCAGCGTAAGGAGGCCTGAGACTGGAGCCCAGGTTGACCCATCACTGTAAAAGCTCTTCTGACAACTGACCTGTTTCTTCCCCAGCCCCTGGCTTCTCCAGGATGGAGAAACAGGTTAGAGAAGGTGGTAGGTGGATTGTGAAGATGGCCACAGTTCTTCACTCTTCCCCCGAATATCCTCACCCTCTGCAATGTGATCTTGTAGCTCCTTTTGTCAACAACTGAAGTCTATTTCCTCTTCCCTTTGGCTAGATGTATGACTTGATTCAGTCATTAAATGACTGAATCAAAGCCAGGTGACCCCCAATTATATGAGGGACCCAGGCAAGATTAACAGCACTGCTGACTCAACACACTCTGACCACAGACACATGAGTGAATCCAGCCAAGACCAGAAGAAGCACCCAACTAACCCAGAGATTACCAATATGTGCTTATTGTTTCGTGCCACTGAGTTGGTGGTGGTTTGTTATGCAGCAGTAGCTAACCAATATAGGGACCCAGCTCAGCCAGGCCTGGGATTCAGAGAGAGCAGCTGACATGCACTCACTGTCATCATTCTTGGGCACACAGCATCAGTTAAGGGTGTGTTCTTTCCCAACACCCACATTTCGTCCCTATGCACTGTACTCTAATACACTGGCTCCTGTTTAAATGCCCTGGGGGATATCATTGGACCAAGCCCTAGGCAAGACTGGGGTCTAAACTGCCTCTCCTTTAGAGCCTCCTAGACCAATGAATTCATTCCACACCAGATGGAAATATTTTTAGGTGAGGCTTTCAAGCAATAAATAACAACTGAAATATGTTGAATAAACTTATACCCCGCTCAGCTTCAGGAATTCAGAATTTGTATTTATACAAATCTGTGGATCGCTTTTGAAAGTATGACTTCATTTCCACTGGGCAGCTCTCCTGTCTTTAAAATGTGCAACTCCTTGAAGGTCACGGAGGTAAAGATGAGGTCTCCAGCTGTCATTTGCCATATCTACACATCCAGATGGCGCCAAATCACTGTTTCCTCCAGCCAATCAGCTCTGTCTTTGTTTCCTCCTTCAGTTTCAAGTTCAGAATGATCAGGTACCTTGTCATCTCAATAGAGAACCATCTTATGAATTCTGGGAGAAGAGTAGGGTTGGTTCAAGCTGGGTTCTCACAGCCCCTTCATTCCAAAGAAGTGTTTGTTCTGAGAAAGCTGTTTTCTAAATCTTTCTCATAGCCTAGACACTCACCTGCATTCAATTGTACCAGGCACATACAACATGCAAACACCTTAAGGAATTTACAAATGGGATATAGAGGGAAGTAAACAAGCAACTGGTATGGAGAGAGAAGTGCTGAGATGAAGGAAGTCCTGGGTACAGTGGGAATGCAGTGGGGTGGCCTATAATCCAGCCTTCATGGGTGTGGGTAATGGAGGTGAAGAAAGTCTTCCTGGAAGAAGCGATGTCTACACAGATAGAAAGTTAATTAGTAGGAGTTAAATAGACAGGAAGACAGGGGAAAGAACAGCCTAGGGAGAGGAAGAGTTTGAGCAAACGTCCAGCAGCCTCTGACATTAAGGCCCTTTTAGGGGACAGTGTCAGAATGTAGTTTCCAGAAAGAATGTGGTGAGAGATGATGCTGGAATCCTAGGTGAAAACTAGACCAAGGGGGCCCTTGCAAGGCTCACTAAGGAATATGGATTCTATCTTGGGGACCGTTGGGAAGATCTTTGATCTGTGCTTTAGAAAAATCAAAGAGGCTGCAGAAAGGAGAGGGGTTTGAGGGAGCCCCACTGGGAGCTATTAGGGAGCATCAGAAATGCCCAGTCCTCACCTCCTTATGTGTCACCTCTCCTGAGATGTTTGAGTAAGAGCCGAAGGTGAAAAGGCAGCAAAAGTGGGTACTTGCCACGTGTGTCAACCCAGAGGGGGTCATTTTGGATCTGGACATCTGCCTTAAGTAATAAGACTGACTCAGTAATAGTAGTAATGGGCATGATACAATATTTCTAAGCTCACTGCCACATCACATGTAGCAAAATTCAACAGTCATTTGTGGTTCTTCAGACTAACTCCAAATTTTGGGTTTTAATCACCGTATCTAAAAGTTTCGTTGGAAAAATGGACTCATGATGACAAAGAAAGGAATGTATTGCTTCACCAATAGATTTTATTAGCAATAAGATTCAGTGGCCAGATGTCAGCAGGCTCCTAACATGGAGTGAGAGTGAGCAGAACATCTTCCCTCACAGTTGCTTGACTACAGAAGTTGAATCTGTGGAGAGAAAACAATGAAAAGTCAGCTCCTTGTGGCCCACAGTCAGTGTGTTGAGCATGAGGCCAAGCGCTGCTCTCCCCTCCACCTGAGTGAGGGGCACACGTGTGCCTGAGACCAGACATTGGCAGAGGGAACACCTCTCTTCCGTGTAAAGGACTAGGTTCTCCTTTCCAATCTGTTTTATAGCTGTGCAGCAGTAGAGAGAGGAGGTGTCATTGGACACCTCAAAGGACAAGGAAGACTCATTTGTCACATTCTGGAAGCACCTATTAGACACCTGGCACATTGTCAACCAACATACCTGAGGAAGAGTAAAGTCAACAGCGTGATAAGAAATCAGCCAAAGTAAAAATTCCGAGGCCCTGGTGTTCCATTGGCTAGACATTCTTATTTTAGTTCAGAAACTCAACTGAAATGACTAATTGTGCTCATTAAGACTGAACAATACTTAGGATGCTTTGGGGCTAATTTTCTTTAATATATAAGCATATGTAAGTTTCTTGGCACATGAAAGTCCTCAGAAAATGCTCTTTTCTCTTCGTCTTCATTTCCTTCCCTGTGGTATGATGGCTGGCAACTCACAAATGGCAAATTAAAGCTTAAAAAACTAATATTGATAAGGGACACAGGAAATGAAGGGCACATAATAACTATATATGAGTAAGGGTGGACTGAATTTGTTTTGTAGCAGTTAAGAATTTATTGGAGTCAAATTTCCTGTATATGAATTCTGGCACTAAGCCTTCATTTAATTATCTATAAAATGGGATATTAATGGTAACTACCTCCCATCACCACAATCAAGAGAGTAAGCATATCTATCACCCCCAAATTTTCCTCCTGCTCCTTTGTCATCTTTCCTTCCTATCTTTTTTCTTCTTCCCCCCTCCCCAGGCAACCGCTGATCTGCTGTCACTTTGGACTCATTTGAATTGTACAGAATTTTATATGATTTGAAATAAAAATGTGTGCACTCTTTTGTCTTTTCCAACTGGTACATTTCCCTCTTCCTGAAGAACTTCCGTTAACACTTCTCATGCTGGTGATAAATTCTTTCAGCTTTGGTATATCTGAAAAGTTTTTATTCCATCTTTATCTTTGAAAGATATTTTTGTGGGTATAGAATTCTAGGTTACCAGTTTTTTCCTTTCAGTACTTTCAAGATGTTGTTTCACTGTCTTCTCACTTGCATTTCTGATGAGATATTTGCTGTAATTATTAGCCTTATTTCTCTGTATGTAATGTATAGTTTTCTCCTGGCTACTTTTAAGATTTCCTCTTTATAACTAGTTTTGAGTAATTTGATTTTGATGTATGTTGGTAAGTTTTCTTCATGTTTCTTGTTATATCACTTGGATCTGTTAGTTTATAGTTTTCCTCAAGTTTGAAAAATTTGGAGCTGTTATTTCTTCAAATATACTTTCTGTCTGGAACAATTGTAAGGCTTCACCTTATTTGTTTCTTGCCTCTCAGGGATCATTTTCCTTTGTTGCCTGATGTTCAGTGTCTAGAAACTGTTATTTTATTTTTTTCTCTGAATTTTTGGTTGTTGTAGTTGGGAAGGTAAATTCAGTCACTGTTACTCCATTTTTGCCAGAAGCGAAAGGCCCCTCCTTGGGCTTTTATGGGACTGAATGACTTGATGACAAAAGAAGCATAATACTGGGCCTCAGAATTTGGCTTTATATGCAAATCACTGGGCTAATGTTGGTTTTGTGATGATTATCATTATCATCAGCTCATTTTTTTCTGGTGGTTCACCAATGGTAAATATCCTTTGGCTCACAGACACTTTAGTCTTGGTTAGAACTAAAGGTTGGCCTTTGTCTTCAGTAAGATCCAGAATAGCCTTTTTATATTCCTTGATAGGTTAAGTGTTTTCCCGATAATTTAAGTGGCAATTTGGTGAACCCAGGACATTTGGGGAAGATGCACATATTAAGTATACACATAGCACAAGGCACAGCAGCTAAATGAAACTATTCTTCTCACCTTAGATTATGACACAACACTCATCTACAAATCTATCCAAGCTGTTTTCCTAGAGTCCTACACTTTCTCCTAAAGAAACAAAAGGTATCAGGAAGCCGCTGTGGGTGGGAAGTGGGAGAACCATTGCAGGGGATTTACCTTAAAGCCAACTTCCAGTGGGAATAAAACTATAAACATGATTCAGCACTTCAAATCTCTTTGGATTTTTAATACTTACGTTTTTCCATCGTTTCTTTCCACTGTGATCTGGGATGCTCCCACTTTGGGAAGAGTTGGGTTGATTATATTGTTATACCAAACAAATTTAACCATCTGCAAATTCCCAACATCCACATCTGAGTCAAATTCATTGGAAAGAATACCTTCTGGTCGGAGAACGCCCCTTGGGAATTAAAAAGTTAATAAAAACATACATGAATATACATAAATATACATATATACATATATATATGCCTAGTATGATAACAGTACATTTGTCATTCTAATGTATTAAATAAGAGCAGACAGGTACGCGAAGTCAGTGGTAGCTTGTCTGCCATCAATAACTCACATTACTTTAAAGTCATTCTTACTTTAATAAAACTTCAAACATGTTTTAGTCATAATCCTCCCATAATTTAATAAGTGATGACATCATTATATCATCTTTTCTCAATTGTTTTGTGGACAGAATAATTATTTACTGATAATACCACTCATCAAAGTAAACATCAGGGGTTTTCTCAGGAAATAGCAGAGAAAAAAAATAGAAACAAAATTATAGAATGTATTAAGGTGCCCGGGTGAAACAATCTTTTCCTTTTGATGATATGTGGCAGTGCATAAGCTCCGATCATAACCGATAAACTCTAACATCCATAACATACACGGACTGTGCGAGGCATCCCAACACTTAAGAAGCTTAAGAGTTATGTTTTACTCACTTGAAAATTTCGTACTGCTTAGAGTTTCCTCTGTCTCCAAACAAAGAAACCAGCACGTGTCCTCTAACTTTCTTTCCAGACAGAGTGACAGTTACCTTATACCTCCAACCTGCAAGGAGGGGGGGGGGATTTGCAAAGTGTCAGCTTGCAGTGAAGACACACTGAAAACAGGTAAACTTGAATTCCACGACTGCTAAATTCTGAATAACATGTATGGTATTGATAGTTCTAATAGCCATCAACGTTCCTTTATCTAAATGTTCATAGGACAGGCACTGGGGGAGGGGAAGAGCATGGAATCTCTCCAAAGTCAATAGATTTCAAGACAGAGGAAAAGGTAATATATTTTGGTTTCAATTTTTTAACCTAACACTTTGTTCTTAAATATTAAAAGAACTTTATGTTAAAATATAGTAGAAAATAGTAGACTATGACATTCTCATCAGTTTACTTCATTTTCATAGATCACATTTTAGAGCACTGTCATCTTTTCATCTAAATGATCTACATTTATTTTTAAAATTCTACAACTCAACTTTTCATTGCCATTGGAAATGCATGAGTTTGTGGTAGCCGATTGATGGTACCAGTCAATAGTAAACTAGCGTTTTTTCCCCATTTTGAACTCTCCTGGAGTATTGGGGGTGGGATAAAATTTGGGTTTAGTTTTTATAATGCAGCGAGCCTCACTGGTTCCCAACCAAAGATTTGTCTTCTTCTGTTAGCTAGAAGAGAAACCTGGAGCCTGTCCCCATGCTCCACCACGCAGGCACCCTTAATTCCCAGCACCCACGGGGTCTGCCACCCTAAATACCCCTTGAATCTGTCCATTCTTCTCCATCCCCACAGCCTGGCCATCTCTCTCCTCGATTGCTTTTCTCTTTATATAAAACTTCAGAATTCTGCTCACTGAAATGTGGACTGACTCTGAAGAGGCTGGAACAGAAGCAGCCTCCTGAATTCAGCACCAGGATCAAATGTGAATTTTGGTTTCATCCATAGTTCAGCCCCTAAACCCTGTTCTACCGTCCAAATTAGCTGAGCGCAGCATCTGAGTAGTTCTCCACACTGGGGAGGGGGGTTTAAAACTTCTGCACAGAAAAAGCAATTTCATGCGTTCTCACTGGGCATGCTGAGTCACAGCATTAAGAATCTAAGGCAAATCAGATGGAGACTTACGGGCAAAACTGCTGGCATCACCGGTGTTTAGATAAAACGTCTGGCCTATTCCCTTTGTTTTGTCGGGAAATCTGTCAGCGTAATGGCCCATCTGTGGGCAGCCTTCGCTGGGACAGGGGAAGCACTTGTTCTAGGGGAAATAAAGGAGATGAATGAAGCAGTGAATTCTTATAACAGGGCATCATCTTTTTCTCATGTGTTGTTACAATTCAAATATTCTAAAGCCAATTCTGTTCTGATGGTAAAAGGGGATTGAAGTGTCTCAGCAAAGGTTAAAATGCACCTTGTTATTTACGGTGATGAATCAGCAACTTCGCTGTGAATTAACACAGTACTAACAAAACTCTGAAAAGCACACAAATGGGAACTTGGGTCTATATTTATATCTACATAGTTCAGTCTTTTCCCTTTTGCCCCGGTTGCCCCAACACATCCATCCGCCTGCAGGTGGTTAGAATTTATTTTAGAAAAGTTTGCCAGAGACAGAGCAGGAGGTGAAAATCAGTTTTTGATCAGCAAAATAGGACCCAGGAGGAGTACAACAGCCTCAAAAGACAGCTTTTCCTCAATCCCTTTAACTCCCACTTAGCATAGCAAAGTCTAAAGAATCCAGATCTCAGAGCCCTCTGGGTGTGGAGAGAAAATGGCCCAGATTGGCTGTTAAGGATCAGCCATAAGGTTGGGTCTAGGGAAGATGGATAGCGTGTAGGAACCGGGGCCGAGGAACTGTGGGAAGAAGAGAGGGGAAGGGAGGAACAGAGTGGGACAGACAGACAGCAGTTTCCACGATGGAAGGCAAGGCTGCTCGTCTCCAGGGTCAATGGACCAGGCAGGGGCTGGGCGGAGCAGAGGGCCTGCACCCAGTAGAAGCGAGGGGAGCCTGAGCCTGAGCCTGAGCCTGCAGGAGGAATGGCCCAAGCTCTCTGAGGGCATCGCCGGAGCCAGGGGAGCAGATGCCCCCAGACTCCAGCAGCAGACATTCGCTGGGGCCCATCAAGAAGGCAGAGCCCCAAGCTCCCCCTCCGCCCAACCCATGCTCACCACCACCACCACCACCACCACCCTAACCGCTTGGCCCAGTGCCGGCTGGGAGAGAAAGGCTGAGAAATCTGCAAGACGGACAATGTTTTTCTTATAAAAGTGTCTGAGCGTCAGCTAAAAGGACTGATTCTATTACTGAGTCAGACTGAGTTTTAACTGGATGAAGCCTAAAGCTTCTGCTTGGTTGTTTCCCCCATCACCTACGGACCGGGGATTTGGGAAGACAAAAATAAAGTTAGACCAAAGAAGGGGGGTTGTTTTGGTTGTGAATGTGAGCTGTACTGTGAACAGAGCAGGCACACACCTCCCCCAAACACGCGTGCACAAAATAACCCCCCCTTGTTGACCACTAATTATTATATTTTAGGTTCTGGGTTAAGCAATTGACATTTGTCATCTCATTAAACCCTCCCACCAAACCTATGAAATCTACCATTTTTACATTTAGAAATGAAGAAACTGCCTCAGAGAAGTTAGCCCCAAGCTATTCAGCACTTTAAAGGCGAACCCAGATTCATATCGTCTCTCTTCATCACTAAGGCACATCTCCTTGGTCATTATGACTTACCTGGCATGTTACTTGAAATTTTATTTATTAAATGACATAAGCTATACATTTTTATTTGAAAAAAATTATAGTGAAAGGTAAGGCGATTAAAAACAAACAGGCCACAGATAAGTCATACTCAAGATCACTCTGAAAGAGCATAAGGTAGAGAGATATCTGGAGAACACCAAACAAGATGAAAACTTGGGAAAAAATCTTGGCAATTATGCGATTGCACAGAAATATACACACACCCACTATTATATAGTTTTATAATGTCAACGTTTAAGGCAAATTTTCCATGTTCATTAGCATCCTGTAGCCACAGCTCAGATTTCCATGGGCTATTTTTTTTAACCTAGAATTATTTCCAAAACAAGATTAAACATTTACCTGACATGTGCAGAAGTGAGACAACAAGGCAGATATGAGACATTTCAGTAGACAAGCTCATTTCTCGAAAGTTCTCAGTACCTTATCACTATTAAATGAAACCCATATGACTAAACGTTTATATAATGTGGCAGTCACATAGTGACCCCCACTGAATGCATGTTATGGGCCGTAAACCACACCAGCCATGAGAAAGGATGGCCACAAAAGTCTTTAGGGTCAAGGTGGCGTCTACTTACTGCAGTGAAAGAACTGTAAGAGGTACAGGGGAATCCGGTAAAGCCATCAGGGTTGAGGATGCTGTCAGAGTAATACTTGTAGCTTCTCAGGTGATTACAGGCAAAAAAGTCACGAGAGCCTTTGAAATCAGACATGATTCCGCATCAGTGACAGACTTGAGTTTTCCAAGTTAACATCATGATCAGAATATAGCTAAGTTATTGAGTAGATTTTCTAATTAGTGTGAACTCATAGTAGTCACAAGACAAAATCATTTATGAACTGCATTTATGGTTCATGATGAAATTAGAAGTTAAGTACTATATAAGATGAGAATAGTTATACCATAGCTAATGGGAAATAGCATTATTTTGGAAATAGAAAAATAGATCCTTTTTTGAAATGGAAAATAACTTTAGAAGGAAAAGATTGGTCTATATACAGGGTGTCTCCCCCCAAAATGTATACACACTTTGGCTTCCATTATTAATTCCAATGGGTGAAATCTGAAAAGAAAGCCACATCAATTGAGCTGTCAGCTGTTAAAGTGTGTATACATTCTTTGGGGGGACATCTTGTAGATATAAGTATAACTTAGCAATGAATTTTCTGAACTCAGTCCTTGGAAAGTTGACTACAAATACGTTTTCTTTCTTAGAGTCTCCTCATGCTACGTCCCCCAATGAAAAGCCCATATCATGGGGATACAATGAAAAGTCCTATGTTATAAAAATATGAGGCTTGTACAATGCCAAAATATTTAGCAAGTTTAGCAAAACAAAACACAAACTGTCCCCCGAGAAGAACCTCTCATGCACCCAATGGTTTTACCTTCCCAGATGCCCTCAATGTCAACAATCTGAGAGAGAATGTTCTTCTGACACCCGGGCATTTCTATCCCTCCATTTGGAAAGAAATCCAGGTGTCCCGCAGTTTGGCTCATTCCAAACCCTGAGGAATTTAAAAATATGGAAAAAAAAGATGATGTCACTGTATGGACTGGAAGCCCTCTAAAACGCTCTAATGGATAGATTTATAAGCCACCCTAGGAGGGCGAATTGAGGGACTCACCCATGTTGGGGACGATGGGGGCAGCGTCCGTGTGAATTACATCCACAAATTGGGCATCGCTGGCGTCCAGTCGGACTAACTCGGGTGTCCCCTCAAAGCAAGGTTCGGCTGGGTCCAAACCTAAGGAAGCGAGAGGTGTCACGTTAACATCCAGCGGCGCACCTGGGCCTGGGCCTGTACTCCAGTCACAGGCCTGAGCGCCACCATCGGGGGGCATCGGGGGCTGTGCATGAGCGTTCAGCCAGTTCCTTCCGACCTTACCATTTTCTGAAGGGAAATCTGTATCTAATTTACTATTCACATTAAAGTGAATTTTCCTCAAACCGTGGAATTTTGCTTTACTTGTGGATACTTAAGTCACTGGGACAATCCTTATAGCAGCAGCTATAAGGAAAAAGCCAGGCTCTGGGAAACACTGGGCTCCTAAAAGCTGCTCAGGCTAAGGGAGTCCCCACTATCCTCTGACCTCCCATGAGGGCAAGGACCTTGGCTTTCACGGTCACCAGGACCGCAGGCTCACACAGTGCCTGGCTGGCTAGAATCTCGTAAGCATTTGCAGACTATGGGAAAGAACATTTTCTCCAGCTAATTAATGATGGGCATTCGCGATGCTTCCACCAATCCAAACGTAACCAACTTGTCCAAAGTATTAAAAAGAAAATCAGACTAGGAGGCTAGAGTGGGAAAGTGGCCATTTCCTGAAAGAGTCATTTCTCAGAGGCAGGATAGCAAAGTCTTTCTTATAAACTTACAGGGTTGCTGTAGGACCTGAGTATCCAACATGGGACCCCACTGGCCAAATGTGAGCAGTCTGAGATTTGTAAAATAATATATTTTATCTAATTAGCAGCATGCAGAACTGGCAGCCCAGGGCCTCGTGACCACCTGCCCCCCACTCGGCTCTTGGGTTGTGCTTGATGAAAATTGGGCTAATTATCAATTGCTATTGAAGCAGAATAAAATTAATTATACTTTTTTGAGCTCTTTGGGTTTAATTCTATTTATTATTTACTCTATTATTTATGCTGTTTATCCTGTTCATAAAACTTGTCCTTTTTTGGTGAATGCTTGAAAAAGGGACAATAGATATGACTAAGACCTCTAGATGTTTTTAATTCACATTTTAGTCACGTGCAATATTTATATGTGAAACGCGGCTCTGCAGGCCGAAGATTGGTATCAATTAAAAATTCACAAGGGCTCAGCAGACACCGGTTTCGGATCATGCTGCTCAATTCAGAAAATGTGGAAGCCTGTGTCCTAAGGTAAGAAGCAGGCTGTACAAATTTCCATCTCTGCAGACACCGCGTGGTTTGGTTTTGGAGCTTTTGCTGTTCCGACCAACCTGTGATGCGCGCGACGGTCCCGTTGGTCCTCCTGCCGGCCTCCCCGGCGGCGTGGGAGCCCAGGCTGTGGCCGATGATGTGGACGTTGGAAGGCGAGTACCCGAAGGCCGACTGCGGGGGAGAGGCTGTGTTTCCCAGGACTGCGAGTTCCCGGGAAACGTCCTCCCCCCTCAAAGCAATTAATTTTTAGAAATGTTTTCCATTATAATAGAAAATGGTGATGGCCTTAGCATTTAAACTGGTAGAAGTAGGGCTCTCTTTGTTGTTTCATGATGTAGAGAGACCCTTTGATGGATGCGAGGAATTGTTACCCAGAGGGAGTAAAGTAAGTACTTGGATTAGAAAATAATAATGAAGGCAATTAGTTAGGCATGTTCAACTTTCACAGTTTCTCCGTTTTTAGTTAATAAATAAGGTTAGCATGTTATCATTGTGTTTCTCTTAAAAAATAAAAAAACTAGTTTAATCTTGAGGCTGATATTATCATGTCAACTTGGTTTAATAATTTGGTAAAATTAAAAGAAATGCTGCGGAATTCAATAGAAACAATCTACCTGGTTGCTTGAATAATATCACATTTAAGAAAAACTAGCTTATTGACCTCAATAGGGATATTGATGCAGCCCAGAGCTGGATTTTTTTTTTTTTGCATTTGTTTTCCAACCAAGGGGAAAGTCAATCTCCGCAGGGAAATGTCATCAGCTGTTATCATACCTACAGCATTTTTTGTTGCTCTTTGGGAGAGAATCCAGAGAGCAATGTGCGCGGGCTTTTGCACACGAAGTTACCTGAAGGACTTCAATGAAGTACGCCACTTCCGCCCCCACGATCCTGATGTTCTGGGAGGCCTGCGTGTACCCCGTTCGGGAGCCACTTTTCCAATCCACACAAATGCAGTTCACGCTTTCCACCTTAAACAGGTTCTGGTGGGAGAGGCACAATAAATGGGTAAGCGATTCAGAATCTTTATTAATTCCCAATGAGTGCATTTGAGGACTAGGATTTTCAATATCACGCTGGCTTTTAACCCCAACGCAATGAACAATCTTCTTGTCTGTTATGGATATGGATTCCCTTTTAAAGTTTAACATTGACTCCAAATGGGAGGTTTGGCCATAATGGGAACTGGGCTCTTGAGACTTTTACTATAACAGCTACACAGACACCTGTTTCAGGGGAAAATATGTAAAATGTGGTACAGTGGGCTGCCTCATTAGAGCTTCATAATGTCCTAAGACTACATCGTCCCTAGAACATTGCCTGGCTTGTTCACTGCTGTATCCTCAGTGCCCTGAACAGCTCCTGGCGCATAGTAGGTGCTCAATAAATATTGAATGAATGAATAAATGAAAGACTATGTTGGGACTCCCTTAACTATTAATTATATTGAAGGTAAATGAGTAAGCTTTTCCATAATGGAAAAACTAATCAAAGTTTTTAGACAAATGCTTTTTTTTGGTATATTACTGGAGTTATTTCACATAAAAGCAAAATCTACTGGATACCTACTGGAAGCTTTGTTTGATGGGGTCCAGGATAGTTTCATGAATGTTACATCTGGCAGGAATTTTGTTTGTTTGAGTGTGTGCTTACCAATATTCCCACCATTTTTTCCAAGAAGAATTTGAGAAGAATGAAGCAACCTTAGAAACCATCTCCAACTTTATCATTTTACTGATAGAAAAATTCAGAGAGGGAAAACAATGTGCTAATGTCATGGACAGAGTCAGGCTAGAATCTAGGACCTTTAACCTTGGAGTTGAATCCACTTTTCTCCATCGGGGTACAGCAACGTCATCAAAGATGAACCAAAGGCAAGAAAAACACACCTGCTTTTGAGATCTCAGAAATAAATCATATACACCTATCTAAAGGTCTACATTCCTATGAGCTGAGAATCACTTAGTTTTTTCATCACTTTTCTATGGAAATTTGTTACCCGCCCCCCCATAATCATCAACTTTAAGTTATTTTAGAAGATACATTATGGTTTTACTGATTATTTCTAAACTTGTGATGTGAATTAGCCTATTCCTTTTGGCTGTCTTCAGGATCAGCAGAAACTGGAATTGTCTCAAGTCAGCCTTTGGCTTGAGTCAGAGACAGGTCTGAAATTAAACGGCATTATAAGGACCTTTGTGTCTTTTCCCTTGAGACCGCTGAAGAAGTGACTGCCCCTCTGTAACGGCTGGCCCCAGGAGCTTGGTGAGTAAATGAATCAATGGTAATGTTCCTTGGGCAGTTGCCTAGCAGTTCCCGGGAAACTTTGTTCTGTTTCATTTCCTGCCTTTTTTAATTCTTCATTATCACAGGGCACATAGCCAAGGACAAATGAAAGAAAATAGGACCACTGCTACGGTGGAAACAACAGAAGCTGGAAATGAAAACCTACAAGCTTGCCTAGATATGGCTACCACAGGAAACCACAGAGTAGCAAGTGAAAAATCAAAGGAAAATCATTCTTTTGGGCAAAATGAGTTATATTAGCTCTTCATAAAGAAATGAAAACCTATTAAAAAAAACGAAAAGCTATTGAAAATGCAACTCATGTTGTATCAATATGGCAACATGTGTTGCTAAATTTTAAAATATTTCTGTGTTCCTTACTGAATAACTACTACCCAGAACCTCCAAATGCCTGCCAACCTAACTGCCCTGACGGTGCCAGGCCCTCCCACCCCTCTACCTCCTGAACATTCCCTGGGCACCCCAGGCCCAGCGGGATCAGAGGCTCCTCCAGTGTCACCATGGCCAATATTTGCCCTGATTGGTCGGGGCTGTGCCTTCCCCCTGGTTAATGACCCCTGAAGAGATGACCTCGCCTCACCTTGCACATATTGGACAGCCAGTTTTCTTCTCCCTTGTCTATGAATCCATGAATAATGAAGCGGGTTTTCCTATCCGTTTTGAAATTGGAGGACCCGATAGTTGATGGATCTGCAACAAGTTCCTATTTGGGGGAGAAAAGCATTGAATGTGGAGTTTCTTCCAGACTCCAGTAGAACTGTCTGTACGTGGAGGGAGGCATAGGGGGAGGAGACCGCCCGGGTTGGGGGCCTTGCGGGCAACGGTCCTCTCATTTCAGCCAAGCTGCCTGCAGGCGCCACCCCGACACTCCTCTCCAGGTTCACAGCATCTTTGCAGTTGCTCAGCTTACGACGGTACGTCTGCTATAATATTGCAGGTAAGGGCCTCACCTCCACGCCATGAAAGGGTTTATGTGTGTCTGTCTATATTTTATACACATAAAATATGTTGGAAGAGCCCGGCCGGAGCGGCTCGGTGGGTTGGAGCATTGTCTCCTGCATTCAAAGGTTGCTGGTTCGATTCCCAGGTGGGCGGCTATGGGAGGCAACTGGCTAATGTTTCTTTCTCATATAGATGTCCCCCACCCTCTCTCTCCCTCTCTCTCTTTATCTCTCTCTTCCTCTCTCTAAGCACATCCTCAGGTGAAGATTTAAAAAAATATGTAGGAAGAGTATATATAATATTGAGAGATTATATATATAAGTATACATATATCCATATTTAAATTATTTATTAAATGGTACCATAGAGGTAGGATATGAACAATATCAAGGTACTAGACCTCCTATAATGAAGGTTACATAAAATAATACTTAAGCTCACAGTCCTAAAAGTCTACAAAGATGTAAATTCCACTGACTTATTCCTTTTAGAAGACTTAATATTCAGTATCCTCATGATATAAAACAGTTGAAACTTAGTTCTAAAGGCAATGAGCCCTCTTACCTGAAAGGAGTTGGGGTTCTCGTTGGTGTACAGGAGGAAGCGGGTGTTGACCTCTTTGGGGCCCCAGGGCAATATTTTCAGGGGCCTTTCCACAATTCCTGCCCAGGGGGCATCGTCGCTGAAGCAGCCAAGCCTTTGGAAGCAGATTTCTTTCCCTGCAATCACCCAGAAGGGTTTCAAGGATATTAGTTTAAGCAGAATGCTCTTTTTAATGGTCTCTCTGGAAAAATATGAGTTCAATGATATTTTGTGGCATATATTCTTCCTCTCTACCCCCAAACGTCTTCCTATCTACACGTTCACAAAACGGCATCAACAGACTACATCCGAGCTCAAGGCAGGCTGCTGCTTCTCATTTCGACCGCGTGGGACCACCTCACTCCCTTGGCCTCTCTGTGCAGACCTGTGCGGGGTCCCATTTGGCCTCTCAACTCAGACGTCTTTCTCCAGCCATTGGTGCCCAAGAGAGAAGCAGCTTTGTGTCCCCAGGCCTTGTAGAGGAGGTGGGTATCTCAACTCTAGGCTTTGGGCTTTGGATGAGAACTCATTTCATGCAAGGGCCAAAACTTTATATCTCCAAATGGCTGACTATTTAGGTCCCTCACCTATGTTAAAAGGGCACCCTGGCTTCCCTTCATGAAGAGCCTGCTCACAAATAATCAAACAGAAAATCCACGGTTGCACTCAACTCGAGGCTTAAATGTTTCCCCGTAAAAGAACAACACGAAGGAAGGGTCCTGAGCAGGAAAAGCCTAGAGCACCAGGGGGAGGAGGGGCTGCTGGGGGCGCTGCGTTCTTGAGGTCTTACTACGTGCCAGGTGCTGGGCGAGATGATTCACACGACTATGTTCCCTAAGTCTCACGGGCCTGTGGGAGGCGTGGGCGCATATGCCCCGGGAGGCTGAGGATTTTCAAGGGAATACATTTGTGGCTGGTGGAACCAGGGTTCAAACCCCACGTGACACCAAGCTAGGGTAGATGAATTAAATAAATAAAAATACAAGTTAGAGTATCATGTAAACAATGGGTATTTTTTTTAGAGAAAACTATCACATCGTTGCTGTTCATCTGAAATTCCAACTCTACTGGGCATCTTAGCTCTTGTGTGGCAGCCTCTCTCCGGGTGCCCCTCGCTCCCCACACACCGTGATTGCTCTGCTCGCACTCCCCGGGCCTTGAACGCATGTCGCAGCCCTTCTGGAAAGCTCTGCGCTCCATATGCATATGTTTACTTACCTACTGCTGTGCCCAGCAGCAGCGAAACTGTCCAGAGGAGAAGCATCTAAACAAAGTTAAAAACATGAGTGAATCTGGCTTCATTCATTTTCAAAAAAATGGCATAATTCCAGTCGGGCTAGACCTTGGGGGGGAAATGGGTAAACACTCCTAAACCGAGCCTGGAAGATGTGTCCCCCACTCACTCACCGTGGCAGTTCCGTGGGGCCCCGCACAGCTGGCCAGCGCCCGGAGGCCCTTTTATAGGCGAAGCTTATCTCCCCGAGCGGCCCAAGGGTGCGATCCCAACTGTAATCATAAACAAACCGAAGCTGATAGAGCAGGCCCAGTTTCCCGCGGGCCTGTGGGAGGTGGGAGAAGGGCAGATAGGCTCAGCTCTCCCCCCTCTGATTGCGGGGCTCAGGAGCCCCGACGTTCCGCGGTGGCCCGGCTCCCGGGCGGCCTCTCCTGAGACCTGCAGCCCTGGGCGCCGCCCCGCGCACGTGTGAAACTGGGCTGTTTTCACAGGTTGGACGGCAGCGCTCTTGAAAACAAACACCAAAGCCGGCCCGGCCGCTTTCCTTTAACCTTGCCTCACCCCCACAGAAAGAGGCAATTCTTCAAGGGACTTCATTCCTTTTAGGAAAGCACTTGGTATTTCAGTTTAACAGCCCATGGAACTAGTTTATTTCTCAACGATAACATGGAATAAATGAACTGACAAAAGGAACTGAAGATACTTCTAAGAGGGTAGAGGTGAAATCAGCGACCCCACCGCCGAAGGAAATTACGAGTGAGGGAGAAAAATGAAGTTCGGCTTGGAAGAAATGGTTTGGGGAAAATAGCCTGAAAGAGAAGTATTTGATAGAAACGAGCGGGGATATTTTCAGTGGGAGACGGATGGCTTAAAATACATTTTTTAAAGATGGTAATGGGATACCATAAATTTAAGACACTGTCGCCATTTAGTCTGACAGCATTACAGATACAGATTCGGTCATGTGAAGTTGCCACATTTACAGGTCAAAAATGGTCAAATAATTCAGTTCCCTGACAAAGTTTACAGGTACAGAAAAAAGCCAATAAAATTACTTGTCCATGAGGAAAGTTCAAGAAAGTTGGGCAAGAGAAATGTTAAAATCAGGACAGAAGGGACAAGAAAGGAGTCCATGCATAGCACGTAGCAGCCGCTTAACGTATCCCTGTTGAATGAATGAACAAATGGGGGAATGAAAATAAAAAGCAATTTGTTTTGCATACTTGCTACAGTTTGAGCTGCCTGCCTATATAATCTCACAGTAAAGAACTGGTTTGTCTGAAGCGCTTTTTACTCAAAACAAGCAACCAAGCCAACAACCCCCCAAAAAGTGAGTCAATGTTCACTTTTGGGTTTAATATAAAGTAAAGTATATTCTGTGTGAATTACCAAATAATTCACACAAAATTTCTAAGTTGGCCTTTTACATAGTACAAAATTTAATTCATAATTTGGGTGACCTTTGTTCAATAGAGGCTGTAGAATTAGGACCAAAAGTCACCAAATTCTGAGACAGAGACTAGAGCCCATGGGGAATCATTTTATAAACTAAAATAGGTTCAAATTTTAGAATGTTTTGGGAAGATTTAATTTCCAAAACTGTTAGAAAAGCAAAGAAGGGAATTGTACATAACCGGCAGTCCAGGTGTGCTCTGGATGAATGACTTCTAAATTCAATCTTGCTGAACCCTTTAGCTGTGTTGTAATATTTTATCAGTCCTATTGTTTCGTTTAGACCACTAATGAGCTATCTAGGGCTGTCTGTTTATAGAGTATGTGGCAGAGGTTGGTGGCCTCTTCTTATATGGAATAGAACTGGACCCTATTACCTAATCTCCCTCGCAGGGAGATGAACCACATGATCAACTTCTGGCCAATTAGCTGTCAGTGCATAGATGTGCACCAGTCCTAGTCCTGTTCATAAAAAGCCACACATGATCCTCACATGCCTTGCCTTCCATGGCTTGATGCAGACAAGTACGGTGACCTTGAAGGCCATATGTTGAAGCTGTCAGAGCCACAAGATGGAAGGAGCCTGGGTTCCCTGCTTAGAGGAAAGCCAGTCATGAATCATGAAGACCAATTTGGAGCAAGAAATAAATTCCCATTGTTTTAAAGCACTGATATTTTAGAGTTATAGCAACTAGCATTACCTTAACCAATAGAGATTATTGTATTGTAGGATGATTTCTCCTACTTTTAAGAACAGTTCAGGTAACAAACATTGAATCCTTGGATATAAATTTTACCATGGGATCTGGATGGTACTTATGCATAACAGACTTCAACAGATTTTTTCTAATTCTTAGTTTTAAAAATGCCCTTTCCTGCCACCTCCCAAATTATAAAAATTAACTGCTCAATTCTTCATTCCATTTCTGTAGAACTTTAACGTTAGTGGGCATTTTCCAGTTCAGTCCTGGTAGTGACCATTGTTTCCACAAGTAATCTGAGGCCATATGATATACCTCAAGGCTTAGTGAAAATTTACCCAACATTGCCTGGGCCCCTAGGTGCAATTTATGTGTGATTGAAGTAGTTCAGTCTGCTGGATATAGAGGGAACTTTCAAATACCACAGGTAGGTGGACTGGAGCTCCTACCAAAACTCTGCTCCCCATCAGCCTTTGTTATTTTTCACATCTTGGGATTGCAGGCTAGAAGGTGGGCCCTGTAGAAGGTAACAGAGCCATGGCAGAGCTTCCCCAGGAAGCTCATGGCCTTGAAAGTGGGCTCTAATTGAAAAATAATTCCTGGACTCAGCAGTGCATTATATAACATTGACTCAGCTTTGACTCTAAAACCTTGGACATTTAAAAATAAAAATGCCAAACTTGGACGTTTCTAATCCCATAGCTTTGATTGCAGAGGAGTTAAATATTGATATAAGTTTAGACTCTGATTCTGAAAAGCTTGTGATACCAAACTCCGAGTAAGGGAAAGAAAGGCCCTGGGACACCTGTGTGGCCAGATAACCAGCATGTGAACCAAACAAGGTCTCATTTACTTAACCTTCAGAGAGCCTCCCTTATCCAGTTCAGTCCACTGCCAGGGCCACCAGTGGGAGGGAGAACATGCTCGCCTGGGGAGGCCAGATTTCCCTGAGCAGAAGACTATGATGATCTGGGGGTGCTGTTGCCTCACACCTCCCAGAGCAACATGCTGTCAAACATGAGGGGGTTCAGTTCATCCAGATGCTTGGAGTGAAATATAGTCAACCCTTCTCCATTACGCGCGACGATGATTTACTTTGTGGACCAGAATAACAAGCTTACTTAACATTTTATAGCATTAATTGTTCAGCTTTACATACTCCCAGAGTGTTTGCATTTAATCTTGCACGGAACCTGTGGAAGTTTTAGTGAGTTTTCTTATGAAAACAGTGAGACTCAGGGAGTTTAAGCAACCTCCCCAAGGACACATGGTTGGTAAGTGGCAGAGCTAATTCTGGAGGGACAGATTCTTTCCACCAGCCCCAGGTGACCTGTTGGTGTGAATTCACAGAAGGCCATGTCCTCCTAGGCTGTGTCAGTCTAGAGTTGATCTAAAAAATGGTCAAGAATGGGCACAGCTGGGGATGTCAATATGTGTGTGTGTATACACATCTACAAGACCAGGTATCTGCTTTTCAAAGCAAAGTCACATGCATATTTTTTGTATAACCTATTTTGTTTTGTGTTTAGCTTTCCTATTATTAATGCAGCAAATGGCAATTTTATCACATAAAAATACTACTTTTATGACACTGAGTATAATCATTCTTTCCTGGGCTATCATGGTGGTTTTCTAATTGCTTTTCTTGTCCTTAGACTGACCCCTCTCTTGTCTGCCCGCTACACCCTCCCAGACAGTCAGGCTTAAACGGCAGCCTGGCTGTGCCACAGTCCTTCTTAAACTCCATCCTCCTTCCCTGCCCTGTGCTTTCTAGATCAGGGCTGCCCAGTGGAAATGTATCGTAAGCCCAATATAAATATATTGTAAGCCACATTAAAAAAAAGTAAAAAAGGGGAGGGAGGAAGAAAGAAAAATAAATTAAGCTAATATGTACCTTTTTTGCTCCATACTTATGTTTTGGGGATCAAACAATTGGAAATGACTTGAGGATCCTCAGAGGGGCAGGCTATCTTTTATAGCTTGAGAACTACACCTTTCCCTGCTGCAAACCCAGTGATGTTCTGTCCTTTCTTACCCCAGTGCATCTTTTTTAGCCTGTTATGACTCACAAAATAATCATTATATGAACCTTTAGTGATAAACAAGACAAAAAATGTATAAAGCTCTCTTCCTTGTGCCAGGAACCAGTTCCTACTCTGCACCTGAGCGAGGCCATCCCACTGTGATTGAGGGATATGTCTCTAGCACACCCTGGATAATTTCACACGGTGCGCCATTGATACTATGGAACACTCAGTAATGTCATCTGATAAGGGAATTTGTCTGATAGCCCATTATTTGTTTTCTATCCAAAAAATTATATGTACCATTATCATTGTGGCTGACGGCTGGTTGTACAGGCTCCTCTGTGATAGTAATTTTCCAACTGTTTTCACTATAAGAAATGCAATTTGAATAATGCCTGTATAGCCTTGAGGTGATTTATGACTTTAGTGGCCAAATTAATTGATTTTATCCTGGAAAGCATTGTTTTTTGCTTCTTCTGGGGAAAAAAAACAATTTATTTCCTTGAGCAGAGTGGTGTAATATTTGAAAATATGAAAACAGCAACATCATCAACTCCACTTTGGACAAATATTCATGGCTGATCCCACCAGAGACTGGAGGCCAGGGGGTCAAGGACGAATGAACGCTGACCGAACACAGTCCAAGTTTTATCATCGTTGAATATCCTGTTCGCATCATCACGTTTCCACACTGAATTCCAAGACGTAAACATTCACAGGTTAGGTTTTCAGTGGAGTCTTGTCCACTGTTTTGGTCTGTGAGCTGAATTTGAGCTAAGGCCTTTGCTCTGCTACTTTTGTCGTTGCCTCTTCACTTCAACGGACCACCCTCAGGCCGCCGGTCCTTGCT